TCAGAAACTGCATAGACGAACATTCAACAACACAGTAAAATTTTACTTTCAATTCAGAGTAAATTTTACTCTGAAACACAATAAAATTTTACTGTGAAATAAAGTAAAATTTTACTTGCATGTTAAGAAAACATAACAGATAACACCGGAGTAAAATTTTACTCTCATTTTATCAAACAAAAACAGAGCACATACCAGAGTAAAATTTTACTCTCATTCTGTCAAACAAAAATAGAGCACAAACTAGAGTAAAAGTTTACTTTCATTCTATCAAACAAAAATAGAGCACAAACCAGAGTAAAATTTTACTTTCATCATGTCAAACAAAAATAGAACACACACCTGATTGAACTCAGCAAATCAACAAAAATAAATAAAAAATAACAACAGATTTATACAGCTTTGCAACGTAATCTCTTATTTAATTGAGAGTGTTGATCTTGGATAGCGAGATCATGTATTGTTGACCAAGGATGAGATCGTAAGCGTTGAGATCTTCAGACTTTGAGATCGTCTTCATGGATTTCGCAGATCATCTTCACTTTGTAGATCATCTTCAAGATCGTTTTATGCATGAGCTAATGTTGTTTAAATATATGATATATATATATATATATATATATGAGGGCAATATGGTCCCAAAAAAAAATAAATTATAGAATGTCCTTATTGAGCTGGGCTTCTCTTACTCAGGTGCTTTTTGAAGGAGAATTCATTGAGTTGTCCTTTATCTTAAAAAAAGGTCCAAAAAAGGGGGTCTTACCAAAAATCCCAAAATTTTAAGTGCCTAAAAATAATTTTGTTCCTAAATTTTGGTTTCTAAAACCTTAAATTTTTGTAGTAGTTAGTCACTCTGGAATATAAATAACCAGAACTAGAACAATTTTCAAGCTACTTTCATTGTGTGTGTATATATATATAAGTAATTTTATAATTACTTTCAAACTCTAGGGTAATTTTCTATATTTATTTTCTCTGTATTAAATTCTTATTATGTTAAAAGGTTCATCTCAATTGCTGATCTAGGTGGTACAGAGATTGATTTGAGAATATTGTGTGTGTATGCCTTCATTGCATATGACCTTGATAATGTTAGGCCTCGTTTGAAAAGTAATAGTTTTAGCTTAAAAGTCAAAAAGTTATTAAAAAAATCAAGAAGCTTATAACCTATACCAAAGTTAAAAATTTCATTTTCTCTTTATTTTTTGCACATTTTTTTTGTAAAAAATCAAAAAGTCATTCCAAACACACAAGTTTTTTTAATCTCATATTTTATTCAAAAAGTTAAAAAGTTACTAAAATAGTCTGTTCCTAAACGAGACCTTACTTTCATCTTGAAATGTAACTTTTTTTTTTTTGATCAGCAAAGAAAAAAGAAACTTTATTGATGAGATGGGCAAAAACAAGCATCAATATACATAAAAAAAAAGAGGGAGTGCAAAAAGTATCATAGCTAACACTCCACAATCCTAGGTTGGCACCAAGGAGGAAGCACAATCATCTGCTAGTACTAAACCCACAGATTGGAGAGATACCAATCCCACCCAACCCAAAAAAAAAAAAAAAAAAACAAACAAACAAACAATTAAAAACAAAAATGAAGACCATCCAACCACACAACAAGGGAAACCTTCCAAATCTGACAACTCCTCCCCCAACAAACTCCAGCAATTTATAACCAAAACACCAGCAAAACTCCTAGCAACACTAAGTAATTAATACCCAAGGTAGCCACAAACTGCACCAAAATTTGCAACATCAGCAGTAGCATCAATGAACCAAATTGGTTCAATTTGTAGTCATATTGGAGAGGTAGATGACACTCACAAATAATTCATGTTGTTCATTTATACTTTGTATAAGGACATTTTCCCTGTATTTCTAAATCTTATTTTATTTGAATAATTTATATAAGAGAAAATGGGGATGGAAGAAAGGCTCCTACAGAGAGTGAAGTATAGAAATGGAAGAAAATAGAGGCTTTTCTTATATTTTCAATTTCAAATTATATTCTTTTGCACATGAGAGTTTCAAGCATTGCATGTCGCATATGAACAACTCAATTATCTCGTCTAGGTGAGTTTGTGTATATAATTTTTTTTTAACTGTGTAGTGTTTACTACAATAGTTGGTTTTTTTTTTTTTTAATAGGCAAACAGAAACTTTATTGATGAAGAAACATATAAGGTACAAGTGTTATACATCAATAAAGAAAGTGAGCGCAAAAACAATCATAGCTAAACTTTGCAATTCCAATTATGTTGACACCACAAAACAAACTCAACCATATACTAACATATACCACCAGATTGGTGAGCAGCCAACCAAACCAAATAATAAAAAAACGCACAAAACTAATTCAATAAACCAAGCACCTAACCACTCCCTCTCTCACCTGTTTAAGATTGAAAACAAAGTCATGCACTGTAATGCAATCCTACAAGACTACTCTAGCCCAAAAAGCTATCCTTGTCTTCACAATGTCCTCCAAGTCAGAAAAATTAGGATGACCTCCATTGAACATTAAATCATGTATTTCTAAATCTTATTTTATTTGAATAATTTATATAAGAGAAAATGGGGATGGAAGAAAGGCTCCTACAGAGAGTGAAGTATAGAAATGGAAGAAAATAGAGGCTTTTCTTATATTTTCAATTTCAAATTATATTCTTTTGCACATGAGAGTTTCAAGCATTGCATGTCGCATATGAACAACTCAATTATCTCGTCTAGGTGAGTTTGTGTATATAATTTTTTTTTAACTGTGTAGTGTTTACTACAATAGTTGGTTTTTTTTTTTTTTAATAGGCAAACAGAAACTTTATTGATGAAGAAACATATAAGGTACAAGTGTTATACATCAATAAAGAAAGTGAGCGCAAAAACAATCGTAGCTAAACTTTGCAATCCCAATTATGTTGACACCACAAAACAAACTCAATCATATACTAACATACCACCAGATTGGTGAGCAACCAACCAAACCAAACAATAAAAAAACGCACAAAACTAATTCAATAAACCAAGCACCTAACCACTCCCTCTCTCACCTGTTTAAGATTGAAAACAAAGGCATGCACTGTAATGCAATCCTACTAGACTACTCTAGCCCAAAAAGCTATCCTTGTCTTCACAATGTCCTCCAAGTCAGAAAAATTAGGATGACCTCCATTGAACATTAAATCATTCCTCAATTTCCAAATTGACCACAGTAATACTAATGGCACAATCTTCCAAATACTCAGTTCCTTCTTAAAAGTAACACCTGCCCACTATTGTAGCAAGGCTTCAATAAAAGCAGGAATTACCCAACACATATCCCACCACCTCAACATTCCAGACCAAACTCTCCATATCAGTAAGCAATGTAAGAGAACATGATTTACATTTTCAGTTTCCCCTCTGCAAAAGACACACAGTGTGCTAGCATTATCATCCAGCACCCCAATTCTATGCAAAAAATCTGAGGTTTTCACTCTTCCCCTCCAAGCTAACCAACCAAAGAACAGAATTTTAGGAGGTGCCACATTTTTTTGCATGTGAGACAAATTTGTACATGTTTTTGACTTTCTTGCTCCAATTTATTTTGAATGTTGAAGTGATACAAGTCTATAGGTTTTATTGTGAATTTTGATTTTATTTTTTGAATAAGTTGGTTCAGATTTTCATTGGGTGATAAATTGTCTTGAGAAAAGCTCGGATATAATCCTTTTCTTAGAAATGAGAAAAAACTGATGCTGAAATTTTCATTTCACAGAAATTTGTGAAATATTTTAAAGTCGTATTTGAATAAAATATTTGATGTAATTAAAATTACGAAAACCAAATTAACTCCAAAAATAAACTATAGAGAGTATATGTACAATTTATCTAAAAATATTGACACAAGAAACAAACTTAGAGACTATTATATAATTTGTCTAAAAAATTATCTTATATATTTCATTCACTAATTGCTTAGGGGGGTGTTTGGCAAGTTGGGTTTGGACTATTTTTTGGCTAAAATTCACAAAAAGATAAAATAGGCTAAAATACCTAATAAGACAAAATGAGTGCTTGGGAAGTTACTATTTTAGTAAGTTATTTTAGTTTTTGACTATTTTAATAAGTTAAAATTTTTGTATTTGAGAAGATGATTAGATTTTTTTTGTAATTAGATATGATGTTTGTAAGAGAAAAAATGAAATGATTATGGATTTGATGTAACATTTTGTCTTATTAACTATATTTTAGTCTATTTTGTCGTTTTGTAGATTTTAGCCCAAAAAATAAAAAAAAATAGCCTTTGCCAAACATTCCAAAATGTCACATTAAACCCATAATCATTTCACTTTTTTTTTTCTTCCTCACAATCATCATATCCAATTATAAAAAACTCAACTATCTTCCTAAACACAAAAAATGTAGCCTACTAAAATAGTCAAAAACTAAAATTGCCTACTAAAATAACAATTTCCCAAACACCCACATTAACAGGACGTTTATAAAATCAACTTCTAAGTTATTATAGACTAGAAACAGTAGGGATATATGAACAAAACAAAAAGGGAAATAATAATATTAATGTCCTACATGTACATATAACATTTGTTGCATTATCTATGTAGACGGTGAAAAAAAATGCTAAAATTATCTAGTGATATATAATAGTTCTCAAACAAAAATGAGTTAGGAAAAATATTTAACAAGCCAGTCATTCCCAACAATAAATGATATAAAACTCAAAAACAGAAAAGTAATTAAAACACATAAAATGCTATGAAGTAAAACTGAAGGATGTTTTCAATTCTCATTACCATAGAAGGAATTGACAAACTCAGTTTGCGAGTTTTCTAAAAACTAGAACCAGTTAGGACATGAAACCAAACCCAAAAAAAGCACAAAAGAACAAAAGCAGTTAGAACAAAATTTCAACTGCAATATGAGTTCATAGTAAGTCCATAGCAACATGCCTCTAGTTGAGGGGAAAATGAACATGCTAAAGTCATCTCAGCCCCACATTATGCAACTAGAGCAGACAGACCATTCAATTGCTTCTTCTTCCTCTTCTTACAAAGCTTCACCAACTCCTCCACCACCCCATCCACCACCTCCTTTTCTCTCATCCTTATTTCATCACTCAATTCTCTCTCTGTCTTCTTCACGGCCTCACCACTTTTCTCTATCACAACCTGTTTGATCACTTTAGCCACTTCTTCTCTTAAAATCTTCCCATTCTCATCTCTCATGATCTCCACACCAACACCAATTTCACTCAAGAGCCTAGCATTGATTGGCTGATCAAGGTGCATAGGCACAGATATTATAGGGACGCCAAACTTGATCCCCTCCATTACTGAGCTCCACCCACAGTGGCTCACAAAGCCACCAACGTTTGGATGCTCCAAAATATTTACTTGTGGGGCCCACCCTTGGATGACCAATCCTCTCCCCCCTACCCTCTCAAGAAACCCTTTTGGGAGTGCCTCCTCAACCCTAGTTTTTTGTCCCGCTGGAAACCTAACAACCCATATGAAATTGACATTGCTAAGTTCTAACCCATGAGCCATCTCTTCCATCTCTACATTGGTGAGAAAATACTCACTTCCAAAGGAAACAAACACGGTCGAGCCTCGGTCCTTCTTGTTGAGCCACTCGGTGATGTGCAAGTGCTCGTTGTCATTGACAGAGGCTTGGACAAGTGGACCAACCGGTACAATTTTCTTTTCAGATAAAAGGGAGAGGTGATCAATGTATTTTCCTTCAATCTCTCTCGAACTCTTGATCAAAATTATGCTCGATGATTCTTTAAGGGTTTCGAAGAAGCGGTTTTTCTCTTTATAGTAATTTTCAGAAGATTGAATCAAATGAATGAACTTATCATTCTCATAATCATTAAGATGTATCTCTGGAAAAGGGAAGTCCGTACCTGGATTGTTTTTTTGATTGACAAAAAAGATTTTATCAACTCAGAAAAAAAGTACTTTTCACTATTAAAATAACATTTCTCAACTTGATTCACACATACTCATAGCGAATAACAAAGTCTATACCTGGATTGTTGTAGCGATCAAACATGTAGGAAGTCATTGTAGCGCTGGTGCTTATGAAAACCACAGCCGGGATATCATGCTCGGAAGCGATAATCGGGGCCCATGGTTGAATAGTATCATAGATAAGGAGGTCTGGCTTTAGGGTTTTTAGCATTTTGGAGAAGTTGTGGCTTGACCAATCAAAGGCCTGTTTGAGGGTAGGCATGAGATGGGGTGGGAGGTTCTTGGTTGTGTGGCAATTTGGAGGAAGACCAGGCAAGGTCGGAACATGGAGTTCCACTAGTTGTATGGAATTTGCATCCTTCTCTGTGAGTCTTCTCTTAATGCAACTAAGATTCACCGCTGTTGAACACAAGTATACCATGAAGTTTCTGCTTGAAAGTGTCTTGGCTAGCTCCAGGAAAGGTGAGATGTGTCCGTGTGCTAGCCATGGGAACATGAAAACTTTGATCTTTCTCTGCTCACACGCCATTAACTCTCTCTCTCTTGCTCTCTCTCTGAATGCTCTCTCTCTTTCTTCTAGGTGTGTATATCTTGATCCATATTGTTAGATATATAGCAACGGTTACAAGACTAAAATGGAAATGTGGAGGGATTGAATAACTCATTAAGTGTGAATAAAAGGGGGAAAAAAAAGAAAAGAAGGAAAGAATAAAAATCATTGGGAATATATTGCGACTGTAGTATGTATTTTTTATTTGGAATGATTTTATGTTCACTGATTATGGAAACATATAATACTATAGGGGAATGGCTGAATCTCTAGAGCATAAACACCATCTCGAGTTCGTTTAGGACATAATGATAACCTTTAAGTTAACAATGTGATGTATTTGAAGTTACAACTCAACACATTATGCCGGTGAATCAAAACTCACTAGTTAAGTTGTAACTTTGAGGACTTAAGAGTTGTAATTTTGAGCACATCCCATTGTAATAACAGTGGGAAGCAAAATCGGTAGTGTGCACCCCTTTGGTTATGATATGATCATACAATCATTTTTCCTGCAAGCTTAAAACCAATAATGGTTTCCTTTGGAAAGTTCGCTATTTTTTTTATCAACAAAAAGAACAATTTTATTGATGGTAACAAAACATACAAAAAAATATGGAATACATCAATAAAGTAAGGTTGAAAATAAACACAAAGAGCAACACCCTATAATTTGCTACCTCTCGCCAAAGGGTTAATGAGAGGCCAACACCAAACACTCAAGTAGAGCACAAATATACAAATCAACCAGCCAACAACACACCGTAACACCGCACCTATTTTAGTAGACTATTTTAGTTTTTAGCTAATTTAGTAGGTTAAAATATTTGTATTTGAAAAGAATGTTGAATTTTTTTATAATTGAATGTGATGTTTATGAGAGAAAAAATGAAATAATTATGAGTTTGAAGTGACATTTTATCTTATTAATTATTTTAACTTATTTTATTTTGTTGTGTGGGTTTTAGTCCCAAAAAATCAATTTTTGGCTTCCAAACACCCCCAAAAGGGTAAACTACTAATAAGTTCTAATAATTGGACTTAATTCCCATCAAATTTTATTGAAAATAAGTCTTAATAAAATCGTCACTAAAAATATTTTTTGATGAACTTAAATGTAGGTTCTAATAGGTAGACTTATTGTCCAATAGATCCCCGTAAGAATTAATGATATTTTTCATCGAATAATATTTAAAAACGTTACTAATTGTTAATTTTCAGTGACGTTTGAAAATTGTCACAAAAATATCACTAATTATAAGTTTTAGTGACGGTTTAAAAAAATTGTCACAAAAAATTAACTAATTTTTAACTTTCAGTGACAATTTAAAAAATTGTCATAGAAAAACGTTACTAATTATAAGTTTTAGCAACAATTTATAAAAATCTTGACAAAAAAAGAAATCATTAATTGTCAATTTTTAACGACATGTGTAAAAAATTGTCACAAAAAATTATTTTTAGCAACGATTTTATTAAGACTTATTTTTAATAGGATTTAATACAAATTAAGTCTAACTTTTAGGACCTATTGGTAGTTTATCCATAATTTTTTATGACGATTTTTGCATATGTCACTAAAAAATGACAATTAGTGACTTTTTTTTTCACGATTTTTATGAATTGTTGCTAAAACTTATAATTAGTAACTTTTTTTGCGACAACATTTTTAAACTGTAGCTAAAAGTTAAAAATTAGTGATTTTTTTTGTGACGATTTTTTTAAAATGTCACTAAAACTTATAATTAATGATTTTTTTGTGATAAAATTTTTAAACTATTGCTGAAAATTAACAATTAGTGACATTTTTTAATAGTGTATGGTAAAAAACGCCATGAATTATCATATGACCTATTAGACAATAAATGCACAATTAGTCCACCTATTAGTATCTACACATAATCCTTCCTGATAAAAAAGTAAAAATTAAAAATATTTGTCTACTAACATCTTAAGAATTAATTTTTAAAATTATTTTTGCCTCATAAATTGTGAACTGAAATGGTGACAATCTTCTATTACAAACTTCCAAAATAAAATAAAAAATTACAAACAACTTTATAAACTACACCAAAGTTTAAGTTATGACACTATGCACTTAAGTTTGAGATAATGTTTCATAACTCCAATAACTCTTAAGTAAGTCGCAATTCGATTTAATTGGGTTATAATTTCAAAGAGATTGTGTCATCTTAAAATCTATTCCAATGTAATTGGAGAAGGTAAACATTCTTTAATAATAATAATAATAAATCTATTTATATATAAAATTCATATAAAATTTTACAAGAGTATATGACAATGACATTATTATTATAAATAAATTTATCTTTAATGGTGTGCTATTTTGAAGTGAAATGAACCACACCATCATTATATATGAATTTTTTTGTTTGTATAGCTGCATATAATTTTATTTGTATTATATATATGTGTGTATATTATTTTTAAAAGTAAATAAATGAATCCTATAAGTTATGTACATATAATTTGCGTCATCTACATCACCTAGAAGAATCATAACAAAATGCAATCTCATGAATTATGATAGAAGATCGCAGCATCCAACGGTCATTATATGGTCAAATAAAAATATTGATTTTAAAATTTAGTAACCGTTGCATCATAAAGAACAGCAATGATTCAGAATATTAATTTTGATATTTTAATGGAGCACTAATGACATGGCAAGGAGAAAATTAAAAGAAAATAAAATAAACCAAGATCAAAACATCACATCACAGAGAGTGAGGCCCAGCTGGCTCTAGAGCTCAAGAATTAGATCTCCAAAACATTTTTTCATAAAGAATTATGAAATCAAAGTGTATCACAAGTTTGCTGTTTCTTTTCTTGTTGATCAATCAAAGTGAATTGTTGTGGATAGAGAGCCTCAATTTATGCAGGAATTATCCTATCTTCTAGAAATTTCAATTAAGTTGCGTGTCATTTCAATTATATTAATTATTTTATGTAATACATAAGAAAAAGAAAAAGAAAATGAATTTTTATTGATAAGTCCAATTTAGAAGTGTTTTAACCCAAGAAGTTCATGAAGGAATTTTTTAACCCATTTAGTCCCATGTATGTATAGTTTTATTCCATAAAGTCCATTTTCTTGATTTACACTATTTTCTTGGACACTTATGTCCTTATATTCAATTTTGATACCTTTATAAATATTTTTTGAACGATTAGCAATTTAATGATGTGAACATTCATATTTTAAAATTCACATTGGTAGGAATGTAAAATTGGCCCATGGGCGGCCCGAAACCCGCTCGCGAACCGGGGCGGGCCCGGCCCGTTGACAATGTGAATATTCACATTGACATATTAACATTCACATTAATAGGAGTGTAAAATTGGCCCGCGTCCCGTGGCAGCGCGAAACTCGCTCGCGGCCCATTATGAATTTTTTTGTTTGTATAGCTGCATATAATTTTATTTGTATTATATATATGTGTGTATATTATTTTTAAAAGTAAATAAATGAATCCTATAAGTTATGTACATATAATTTGCGTCATCTACATCACCTAGAAGAATAATAACAAAATGCAATCTCATGAATTATGATAGAAGATCGCAGCATCCAACGGTCATTATATGGTCAAATAAAAATATTGATTTTAAAATTTAGTAACCGTTGCATCATAAAGAACAGCAATGATTCAGATCATTAATTTTGATACTCTAATGGAGCACTAATGACATGGCAAGGAGAAAATTAAAAGAAAATAAAATAAACCAAGACCAAAACATCACATCACAGTAAGTAGGGCCCAGCTGGCTCTAGAGCTCAAGAATTAGAGCTCCAAAGCATTTTTTCATAAAGAATTATGAAATCAAAGTGTATCAAAACATGTAACGGTTACTAACAGTTTCTCAAACCACAAGTTCGCTGTTTCTTTTTTTGTTGATCAATCAAAGTGAATTGTTGTGGATAGAGAGCCTTAATTTATGCAGGAATTATCCTATCTTCTAGAAATTTCAATTAAGTTGTGTGTCATTTCAATTATATTAATTATTTTATGTAATACATAAGAAAAAGAAAAAGAAAATAGTGAGTATGTAATCAATAAAATTGTAAGGGACCACATAGAATACCGGGTAGACCTATGTGATAATTTTTTCAACTTATGGCAAGTTAACCTAAAATAAAAAATTAAAAAAAAAAAAACCCTTAAAATTTTAATGGCAAATTTACTATAAATACCTTTTCTTTTCATGGAAAGTCAATAAATTTTTGTGTCTTAGCTAAGTAATGAAAATGTACCAAGAACAGAATCGAAGGATGTCCACCATTTAGGTAACTTTCCTACTTCTAGTTAAAGAAGTTTTAGGAATTTTAAAAAAAGAATCATAAATCTATTCAGAATTGACATAACCCATAATAACAATTTTAAATATGCTTTCTATTTTTTTTAATCATTTTCTAATTTATTTTATGGGTTAATAGAGTTTATGTTTTAGTTATGACCATAAATTTTTTTATTTGAGTTATTGCCATCATTGACCATCATATCTTTGTGGGTTGGTCACGATCCAGTATGGTTTCGTGGACCATAAGGGCTTATTTTAGTAATCTGATCTATTGATTTTTAAAGTTTCCGTGGATAGATTAATCATAAAAGTAAAAATAGAACATTAAATCAATTCAATAATTGTAGTATATGATTTTATCACATTTGTTTTTATTTTATTATTTTTTAAAATTAATCTGATATTGTAATTTGTAACCACATAAATTCATTCCACTTAGTGCATAAACTGTCATGTTCTATTAAGTTATTGCTTTTCACTCCTCTCTTTGTTCAGTTAATGACATAGACAATGAGAGACGAAATAGGAACAGGGACAGTTACTTTGTAACGTCTTGCCTCATATATTGCCTAGATCAAACTCGCATAAACTTTTGTAATTTCTATAGTTTTAACAGCACATATATGTATATATATAGTCGGGGTGATTAGTGTGTT